AGTGGGTTTGGTTTTTGGTTACTATCTTGTAAGTGATTCTCCCCCTTCCTCCTCCCATCCCTGGTAACCATCAAGGAACGTTGTTTTCTGTGTGTAAACCTATTCTTGACTTTTCATAAAAGTGGTATCAAATAATATTTGTCGTTTTGTGATTGACTTATTTCACTCATCATAATGTCCTCCAGATTCATCCATGTTAAGTTTCGCAGACTCATCATTATTCTTTATCATTGCATAGTATTCCATTGTATGTATGTACCACATTTTGTTTATCCATTCATGTGCTGATGGACACTTAGGTTATTTCCATCTTTTTGCTATTATGAATAATGCTGCCATGAACACGAGTGTGCCTATGTCTATTCATGTCGCCACTCTCGTATCTCTAGGATATATACCTAGGAGTGGGATTGCTGGATCATATGGTAAAGTAGACAGCAAAAAAGAGGAAGACCCTCAATAAGATGGATTGACACAGTGGCTGCAACAATGGACTCAAGCATAATGATTGTGAGGATGGTGCAGGAATGAGCAGTGTTTTGTTGTGTTATATGTCGAGTCACTATGAGTGAGAACTGACTCGACAGCACCTAACAACAAGTATTTCTATTTCTAGCTTTTAGAGGAAGCCCATACCGTTTTCCATAGTAGTTGTACCGTTTTACAATCCCACCAGCATTGTGTGAGAAGTCCAATCTCTCCACAACCTCACCAGCAAATTGTTCTTTTCTGTTTTTTTGATCAGTGCCAGCTTTGCAGGGATGAGATGGTATCTCACTGTAGTTTTGATAGGCATCTCTCTAATGGCTAATGACTGCGAGCATCTCTTCATGTGTTTGTTAGCCACCTGAATGTCTTCTTTGGTGAAGTGTCTGTTCATGTCCTTTGCCCATTTTTGTATTGGATTGTTTGTTGTTTTGTTGTTGAGGTGTTGAAGTTTTCTATATATTTTAGACATTAGACCCTTGTCAGATATGTTGTCACCAAAACGTTTTTCCCAGTCTGTAGGTTCGTTATTTAGTCTTTTGGTAAAGTCTTTCAATGAGCATAAGTACTTAATGTTTAGGAAGTCACAGTTATCTGGTTTCGTTTCTGTTGTTTGTGCATTTTTAGTTATGTTTGATAGTGTATTTATGCCATCAATTATAACCCCTAGCCTGTCCCTATGTTATCTTCCCAGAACTTTAGAGTTTTACGTTTAACATTTAGGTCTTTGATCCATTTTGAATTAGTTTTTGTGTGTGGTGTGAGGTATGGATCCTGTTTCATTTTTCTGCAAATGGATATCCAGTTTTGCCAGCATCATTTGTTAAAGAGACTATCTCTTCCCCATTGAATGAACTATGACCCTTTGTTGAAGATCAGCTGTCCATAGCTGGATGGATTTACTTCTGGGTTCTCGATTCTGTTCCATTGGTCTATGTGTCTGTCATTCTACGAGTACCAAACTGTTTTGATTACCATGGCTGTATACTAAGTTCTGAGACTGGGATGTGAGGCCTCCTACTTTGTTCTTCTTCTTCTATAATGCTTGAGCTATTTGAGGCCTCTTTCCTTTCCATATAAAGTTGGAGATAAGTTTTTCCATTTCATTAAAGAATGTTGTTGGGATTTGGATCAGGATTTCATTATATCTATAGATCACTTTGTATAGTATTGAAATTTTCACAATATTAAGTCTTCCAATCCATGAGCATGGGATGTTTTTCTATTTATGGAGGTCTCTTTCGGTTTCTTGCAGTAATGTTTTGTAGTTTTCCTTGTATAAGTCTTTTATGTCCCTGGTTAGATTTATTCCCGGTATTTTATCCTTTTGGGGGCTATTGTAAATGGTATTGTTTCTTTGATTTCCTTTTTGGAGTTCTCTTTGTTAGTGTAGAGGAATCCAACTGATTTTTGTATGTTGACCTTGTACCTTGCCACTTTGCTGAACCCTTCTATTAGTTCCAGTAACTTTCTTGTGGAATCTCTGGGATTTTCTATGTATAGGATCATGTCATCTATGAATAGGGATAGTTTTACTTCTTCCTTACCAATTTGGATGCCCTTGTTTACCCTTCTTGCCTTATTGCTCTG